TATTAGAAGTGCCTGCTAATTAAGCCTTAATAGCAGTAAATAACTTAGTATTATTTACTACTTCTAAATTATTTATAGTTTTAATATTATAATAAAGTATCTTTTTATTATACTCTTATAGCTACCTCTTTTAATAATAAAGATATATTAAATAACTTAATTATTTATTTACTTATTATTATAAGTTTATTAATTTAGTCTTAATTAACTTCTCTTTACATTCTAACTAATGCTTTTTAATAGCAAAATAATTAGCTATAATAAGTTAATAATAAAAATCACATATTAAGGAAAATTTATAAACCTTTAAGAATAGTAATACCCTTACTATTATACTTATAACTATAATACGTATATTATATATAGTGCTTATAACCCTCTTTAGCCTAATACTTTAAGTTTTAGGGTTTATAATAACTATAAGGTATAATAAGAAAACTAGTATTTTTAATTAAAATTACTTATGCTTTTTAGTTATAAGTAGCTTTTAACTTTAATATCTTATTAATATAATATTAAAAAGATAATTATAAGTTTAAGTTAAACCTATTAGAAGAAGGATAATTAAAATAAGAGTTATATAAGTCTTAAAGATAAGACTTAATAAAGGGGAAATATTATATTATAATCCTTATAGTTATATTATATAAAACTTATAAATTTCCCTTAATTAATTAATAACTTATACTTTTTCCTTATCTTTATTATAAGCTACTTAATAAGACTTATAATTAGACTTATAACTTATATATAAGTACTAACTTACTATAGTAAGTTATTATAAATATATAGAATATATTTATTAGTACTTTTATAAATTCTAGCTTACTAGCTATTAATATAACTTCTTTATATTAATTAAGCCTAATATATATTAAACTTACTATTAAGAAACGTAATACTTTAATAATGCTTAGTATATGCCCTATACAATCTGCCAACAATAAACCTAGCATGGCTTAGTTTAACACAGTTAGACCCAACCATCACAACTACCTGCATATTAACATCTATCTAATTAATTAGTTCCTGACCTCCCCTTACTGTTAGTACCCCTCCTTTTTATAATCGGGTTCTTTTTGCCCTGCAGTATCGGCTTAGTGCCTTATTTGCCTGTCGAAGTTCTTAGTTCTCTGTAAATAATAAGGTAACCTTGTAATATATTCTGGTTGCTGCCTTTACAAGAGACTTTAAAGCCTCTATAATTAACTCTAGGGAGCTACTTTTATATCCTCTAATTTACCTTTTAAGGTATTTAGATTAAGATTTTACCTTACAGACTGTATTTAGGGTCTTTAAAACCCAAGAGGTAGATACGCTAGCCTCCTCCTTAATAGGTATTAGAGTCTGTAGCTTTATATTAAGTTTTAAGATTATATTTTCTAGGTTAAGAGGAATAAGCCTGGCTCCTTTAAAACCCCCTTTAATATTACTCTCTATTATAGTGGCTTAAAAGGCATTATAAAAGGCCAGGAGGAACTTAGTCTTTAAAATATAGGTTATAAAGCTTTTTATTATATGCTCTATTTCTTAACTATAAGCCCTCTTAAAGGGCCTAAAGCACCTAGTATTAAGAGGCTAAAGTAGATAAGATATATAAGCTAGTATATAAAGCGTAATAATATTATTCTCCTTATAATATAGCTTAAAGTTAACGAAATAGTGACTTTTATAGCTATTAAGGATTAGAAGATAATAGGTACTAATTATTTGCTTTAATAAATATTAGTTAAAGTGTTTTAGTTACTTAAGACTAGTCTTATTATCTATCTAGCTATTTTAGGTTATGGCGATGGCCTAATTGCCTGGAATGTTGCATTCTTAATACTAATTCTAAAGGTGATTTTAGCCTATAACTATAATAAACGGCTTGATTGCCTAGCCTGCTGCATTAATTACTTAGATTATTATAACCTATTCTCGGTTTCCAGGCTGTAATCTTTTAGGCTATTTATGCCTCTTTATATATATAATAACTATACTAGTTAAGAAAACGCCTATTATAAAGCTAGTCTTATTAAAGTTCTAGATATTATTTAAGTAAATACTATATTTTATAATTATATTTTATATAAGCTTAAACTAGTTATAAATAATAATTAGATCTTTATATTTAGCCCTCTAATAGTTATATCTCTACTAAAAATATATCTTAAGTAGTAGTTATTACTTAATGAAATTTATAGCCTAGCACGCGCTAATGCATAGCATATTGCGGTTATTAAGCAGTTAATTAGCTATTTCTTTAACACTATGCAGTTATAGAGGATATCCTTGCAAATCTAGGTTAATAATAAACTTAAGAAGAATATCTTCTTCTAGTTTAGATAGCTTCTGTAAGTTAGGTATAGTATTGCATCGAGATTGAACCCCTTGCTGGCGGCGATGTAAGGTATTATGATTAACTATATAGATTTCTGCGGCGCGTCAGATACTTAGTTTTAGATTATCTTAAAGGGCCTAAAGTGCAAGATTAAGATTAGCCTCGTAATTTGGTCGTGATATATCTGATTGTTGAGAACTAACTGATAAAGTAGAGAAGATGGAAGGTGAGGGATTTCTGGCCTACTTGCCTGTCTGGCCCACTCGCTTATCATACACGTTACAGAAATACGTTATCTCTTTGAGCAGCACAAGGCAACATCAGGTTACTTGCCCCACTTTGCTTACTAACCACGCTAATACCTGCAGGGTATATAAAGTTCCTGTCAGACAGCTTCTTTAATTAACACTATATAAATTTATTAAAATCCTTATATAAATTAATCCCAATAAGTCTTAAAGAAAATAATAAGCTCTCTAAAGATATAAGGTAGCTTAAATAATTATAGCTTTAAGAGCTACTTATAGAGGGGCCCTAATGACCTTACTGGCGTGCCTAATTTTCTGCCTAAAAAGGGCCGAGGTTATAATTTTTAACCTTTTAACCTAGAATATTATAATTTTAAGATTAACCCTCTATTTAAGGAATTATTTAAATTATTTTTGCTTTTTATACCTATTTCTTTTATATAATTATAAATTAAATATATTAATAGCTAGGTTGCTTACCTGCTTAAAAATGTTATTATTAATAATTAAAATACCTTCTTTTCTAAATACTTATATATTCTTAAGTAAGAAGGCCTCTTTATTATAATAGCTTATATATAGCTTAGAGTCTTTATTTACCTAGGAATTTATAAGAAAATTTTAATTAAGGACTATTAGAAAGTATTTAGCCTAGGAGATTAATGCCCTCTTTACTTAATTATTAAGTTTATATTATTATAGAAGTTTAAGCTAATTATAAGGTATTTTTATACTTTTAACTATACTAAGCTTAATATAAGTAATAAGAGTAATCTTTTAAAGACCTTTTAAGTAGCTAAGGCGTGGTCTAATTATATATAAAAGGTATTTACTAAGCTCTATCTTCTAGGGACTAATTTAATTATAAATAAGTATATAATCCCTTTTAAAGGTAAATTAAAAGAGATAATAGTTATTAAGAATAAGCCTATACTAGTAAGGTTTAAAGTCTAGGTTATTATATAATAGGGTTTCTTTTTATAATAGCTTTAATATATAAAGTTATTACTATATAAAGCTATTATTATTAAGCTACCTATACTAAAGCTATATAATAAGAAGGAAAAGCTATAGATTAAGGTCCCCTTAGTAATATATAAAGTGTTATAATTTACCTACTAAAAAGGCTATTAATATAGATATATTATATCTTTATAGATAACTTCTTCTTATTATTATAGCTTTTCTGCCTTCTTTAGCAGCTTGGATATGGTATTACAGATATAGCGCGCCCTAACTGCAGTATTATTATTAAGTTAAAGTATATATAAGAGATTAGAAAGGTAAGTAATAGTACTTCTTTAGTATATAATAAGGTAATATTAATCCTAATAAAAGATAACTAAATATAAATAACTTTATATATATTTTTTTTATTAATTTATCTCTTTTTAATTCTTCTAGGCTATTTAAATTGCTTAGAAAGATAACTTTATTATACTCCTCCTTTTAATTATATATAGCAAAGCCCCTTATAAGTATATATTAAAAAAGAGGAAATTACCTACTAAAAGAGGCATAAAGGCAGAAGTGTAATACCTATAGCAGGTCTTTAATAGAGATAGCTTTAAGATTATCCCTATTCCTATTATTGCTGCTTAATATAGTAATAAAATGAATTACATTAACTGCGGTAATTAGTTAAGGTTATATATAGCTTATAAGTATTGCTTTTGCCATAGTCCTTGGCAGGCGCTGCTTTGGTCTTTCCTTCTTAATATTACACTTGCAAATAGCTTTATTTTACAGCTTAAAATGTAGCAGCCTTATTGGAAGCCTTATATAACACTTAAGGCTTAGAAAGAGTGTATTTATAATGCCATTTTTAATAGATATGCTGCTAAAGGTCACACTAGGAAGAGAAACCGCACAGGGAAGGAAGAAGATATTAAGGATATAAAAGCATGGCAAAAACACCTGCAAAGAGATATTAACCACGTCTATAGAGGCTTAATTTTAAGCTGCCTAGCTTGTAAGGGCTTCCGGCATGGTCAGGCTTGGCTCTTTAAAAAAATAAAGGAAAAAGAAGGCTATCTTAAGCCTATATTAGGAAATACATAAAGTCGGAAGACCTGGTATAGTTGCAAAGTATGTGATGTAGTGATTTATAATAATGCTAACTGTTGGTACTTCTATCACATGCTAATTTAGGTGTGGATGGAGGTACTGATCGTCGCGATCATTTTGATTAGCGCCTGACCCTTATCATAACCCTGCTGTTGCCTTATGCCACTTGAAGACATACTAAAAGTTTCAATTAACTTTAGAAATACATTTTTAAAAAATGTAAGACAAATTCGACTCTATAATTATAATATAGTAAGTATACTCGCAATATTTTATTAAGTTAGTGAGAGTTGATGGTTTTTGCAAGGGGTCGAAAACGCCATTTTGTATGGGATTTGGAGGTGCGACATTCGCTTATCATACACGTTATTCGGCATTTTCATGGTGGCCACTTATGGGTGGTGGGCGTTAGAGCCTGGCGCCTTTTTGCTAAATGAGCCTATCTCAGGGCGTACGGTACTTGGGCTGGTAAAGCATCGCGTCAAAACGAGCGGATAGCCTAACACAGCCAATCTTTCGCTGCACGCACTCACTGGAACGGGCTAACTACCCTGGACGGAACCCAAGACATAGAGAGAGGGGGGTCTGGCGACTTCGAACTTGCATCTTCATCTATTCAATACAGCCTCTGCAAGACAAGACGAGATGACTCGGCCGCGGATTGACTTGTCGCAGTGGGCGGATTTTCCAGTGGTGGCTACGACGCATCTTAAGCGAAAGCTTCCAACGTCCATCTCGAGGGGTGCCATCTTTGCCATCTCGTCCCTCGTCTTGACGTGAGTGATTCTCAATTATCACATTATTCTATAATAAATTGACTAACGGTAAAAACTCCCAGGTGGATCCTCGCGACCGTTGTTCTCCCTCAGTACCGACCTGCCATCGTATCTCAGATTGACAATGCCCGCCAAACCCTCCCCTCGGTCAGCATCGACTGGTCGCCAAACCATGACCCTCGGAAAAACTACAACGCATCAAAAGTCGCCCTCATCATCGAGCCTGAGCCCCTACTCGTCCTGGTTCCTCTCATCCTGCACATGATTGCCGTCGTGCCCCCGGACTGGCGATTTATCTTTATCGGATCCAAGAAGAGCATCTTTACTGTCGGTCGCGAGTATGGTATCCAGCTCCAGCAGGGACTGGGCAAGATCGACTTGATGAGGCTGCCCAGTCCTTGGTCTATTAAGAGGGACGAAGATCGAAGTCGTCTTCTCACGGACAGGAGGTTCTACAATGAGTTTTTGCCAGGTGTCGAGTATCTCCTGATGTTTAACTCCGAAAGCATTCTGTGCGCCAACGCGAATGTCAGCTTGAATGACTGGCTGGGTTATAGTTGGGCCGGTGCTGGCAAGTAAGTTTGATTCCATGCACTGCAACCTCCATCTTGGGGCGACCTTGGCTAACCCTCACGCCAAGAGCTGATGTTGGACGATTCGCCGGCTGGGGAAAACTCTCACTACGACGCGTCTCGGCGATTCAACAGGTCCTGGGTTTCCAGAAGCGCTACAACGACAGCGATCCCGAGGACCGATGGTTCGGCAAGCGTCTGTATCTCCTCCCCGACGCAAAAGCCGCCAACGCGATCGATCCGCCGTTTGCCGTCACCAACTACATCAGGCCCAACCCGATGGGGTACTACATGCCCGGCCGTGGCAGGGGGCTTGACAAAGAGGTCTGGAAGGTTGAGAAGCACAGAAAAGCGGTCCTGCAGTATTGCCCTGAACTGCACATCATTCTGGATATGAGGCTGGAGAGGGAGAGGTGCGGGGACGACAACAGGATGGGCGAAATTGTGGGACAGCCTACAGAGGCTGGGGCATTATCTCTAACGACTGGACCGGCGTAAATCCAGTAGCGAGTGGAACAGCTACGATGGAACTGTAAATTGGATATCTTGGGTCGCGGCAATGACACATGAATTATTTTCTTTCTTTTCATGCTTCTATTCTGGAGGGTTGGGCTGCTGTATCATCAACCAATTATTGACGCAAGGAGGATAGATTATACTGATCAGGACTCACCAAAATAAAACTCAAACGAGAATCATCTCCTCAGGATGACGGATCCACTGATCAACATGACTGCAGTGATCCTCCGAACACGTTCGGAAGAGACGAGGATGGCACCATTTGTGCACATTCGGCCTCGGCCCGAATTCCCAACCCATGTTCCCCATCCCAGGACACAGCAAGCCAAGGGGACGCCAAAAAGTATATTTTCGAGAACAAGGGGGGACAAAGGTTAACAATACGCAATAACTTAGTCTCCAATATTGGCTGGCCTTGGCTTACCCGTCATGGCCCACTAACCCACAATGGCGGCAGGCTGGCGGCTTATCCAACAAACCAACATCTTCGAGTCTGACAGAGGCCCAAGCGGCGATCCGAGTGATGTTTGAGTCGATCTGGAGGGGGGCGTTTCGTCAAAGCTTTCAAGAGAGGGAAAAGGCAAGAACGAAAAAAAAAATGGAGAAATCTCAAATTGACCATTCTGCAGGGGGCGCGGACATTGCTGGTGGTGTCGTCAGCTGGAATCCTTTGATGCCAGTGAGATTCGAGCATCAGGTTCCGGCATTTCCACCACCGTCTCTCTTGGCTGTTGGAATACCCTGCCAATATGCTTTATCCGACAGTTTGGTCTCTTCAGCATCCATTCTCTGTATCTCTGCCCTACTAGACGGAGCTAGCCTTGCTCTGCTTTGTTTCACTGCTCGTGCAACTACTCTTCCTTTTTAGCTATAGTCGTTCATTTTGTTCAACTAAGCAATTTATCACGAGAGCTTCAGTTTTCAAGCATGCCTCAAGAAGTCGGCAACAAGGCGTCTGTGGACTCCGAGCCCTCCACGTTGGCTTCGCCTGGCGCGGCCGAAGAGACCCTTCTTGTCCAACACGACGACCGTGAGCCCGCTGATCGCGAATTTACCAGGTCTCCCAGTGAGTTTGAGCTGGGCCAGCTGTATTATGATGCGGAAGGGGAAGCTCTCCTCCTGGAAGAGCATGAGAAGCCCGCGCCGGAGCCTATCAAGACATCTCCTGTCAAGGCCATAATATGGACCGTGGTGAACGTGGTTGCGACTGTCTTGATCGTACGCTCTCGTTCTTTCTCCTCCTGTATAGCTGATGATGATGTTAACCTTGGACTTTAGGTTTTCACTAACAAGGCCATCTTCTCCGACAAGGCCCTTAAATTCACGCAGCTCACTTTCGCCGCCTTCCACTTCACCATTACCTGGCTCGCTCTCTTCGTCCTCTCCTGTGAGCGCTTTGCATTCTTCACGCCCCAAAGAGCCTCGTTCCGCCAAACAGCGCCACTGTCCATCGCCATGGCCCTCAACGTCGTCTTCCCGAACCTCTCCCTTGCCTACTCGACAGTCGCATTCTACCAGATTGCTCGAATTCTCGTCACGCCCGTTGTTGCAGCCATGGACTACTTGCTGTATAAGGTGACTCTGCCTGTTCGGGCTCGCATCGCACTGCTTCCTGCTTGCATTGGCGTCGGCATGGTCTCGTACTATGATTCTCGACCGACGAATAATGCTATCAACTCGACTTCCGATCTGGGTGCCATTTATGCGTTTTCTGGTGTCTTCTTCTCATCCCTTTACACAGTCTGGATCGCAAGCTACCGTCGACGGCTGAACATGACAAGCATGCAGCTGCTCTTCAACCAGGCGCCCATCTCAGCTTTCATGTTGCTCTACTTTATTCCCTTTGTCGATACGTTCCCAGCCTGGGCCGAGGTCTCGATGAACCATTGGGTTTTTATTGCTCTGGTAGGCATTATCCTGTTGTATCTCGCGAAGCTGGTGACCTTGCTAACTTTAGTGATAGTCTAGCATCTTTGCCGTTTTGATCAATGTTTCCCAGTTCTTTATTGTCGCTGAAATGGGTCCCGTTACGAGCACCGTCGTCGCGCACAGCAAGACGTGCATCATCGTGGCTTTCGACTGGCTCTCTTCCGGACGAGCCGTGCGCGACAAGTGCGTCCTTGGTCTCGTCATGGCTTTCCTTGGAATCACTGCGTAAGTCATCAATTATATCCGCCTTGTGTGCCAGGTGACTGACTTTTATGTAGTTACTCAATTGTTATGTTGAGGGAGAAATCAAAGGCCAGAAAACAATAAGATGAAGGGTTACACGTTGCGGGAGTTCAAGGGATTGTCTTATAGAGTATTACGAGACTACTGAACGGAATTTATTGTAATCCGATTCTTCTCCTAGAACACTCAATTAAACAATTGCACATAGGTGTCCATATTTTGAAGCATTAATATCGTCCAACTTGGTCCATTTGTTGCCCTATGCTGACGCCACCACTTCACCTTGACTTTGGATTGAGCCAGCTTGACACATGCAAGGTGCGAATTGCTTCAAAGACTAGTCTAGCGGTGCTAGCAGTTGCTTCATATCTTCTTTGTCCAGGCCCAGGTAGGCTAGATTGTATAAAGCATTATGGCAATCGGAATCCTGAGTTACTTATTTTCCCATGACCTTTAAATTGCTCTGACAGTTGTATTCCGATTTGTCCTGATCATCACTCTCTTCACATTCATTCTCGTCCTCGCCTTCATCCTCATCATCGCTACTCTTATTATCATCCATAAGCTGTCCTTCATCCTGGTCTTTAGCAAGGGCCGCATTAACAGGCCCTTTAGGCTGCCAGATATTATCTACCTAGAGCTCACGAAGAGCTCTGAACTGATGTTTGTTCATCCCTCGACCTGTAATTATCTGCATAGTCGTCGGCAATAATCTGGATAATCGAAGCCAGAAGCAGATAAAGCGCTTAAATCCCTTGCGGTAGAGCTTCTCGGAATATGACTTTGCCACCAGCTCAAAGGGCGCTTTATAGGGCGGTCTGGGAACCTGGCATAAAGCCACCTTCTTAGGTATATATCAGTTCTCCAGATGGTCTTACTGCATTGGTCAAGGAGACGGTCAAGCGCTACTATTATTATATAGTCTTATATAGCGTCCTTATATTTCTATTAATCTTGTATACTTATTATTAAAGAGCTTTTTGGCAAGGTGCTTAATAACATTAGGACTAGCTTGCAGGGGAATACTATAAGATAGAGAGCCACGGCTAGGGTAACCTTGGCAATAACTAGCTGTGACCTCTGGATGTCGTTTGCTAACTAGCTCTGAAATGACAAGCCTTGATAGATATAATCACGCAGCCAGTGTTGCATCTGTTATCGAGCTGCAAGCTTAATCTCTTTATTATGCTTTGTCTTTATATAGGCTAGCAGGACCTACTCGCGAATAGAGCGAAGACTATAATGTTTATAGACCGAGCCCTTGCGAACTGTAAGGTATAGGTAAGGTAGTTAGCCGTTTGGTCGCAGTGGAAGTGCTCTGGGTTTAGAAGATTTAGAGAGTAAGTTAGAGGCTTTAGACTATGGCAGGCCGACTTAGGTATATAATGCCTATCGCCTAGGTGATACGGCACGTGCATAGGGTTAAAGGTAAAGCTATATTTAATATAAATTATTGCTGGCTCTGGTGAATTATAGTATAAGCCGAGATTCTTAGGCTTTTAAAGCTAACTTAGCCATAATATAATAATAGCCTCTATATATATTGCAAGGCCTATTATATTAATAAAGTTACAAAGGCACTAAGAGGACTAGATACCTTCTAAAGAGCCATATTTAGATAAAGACATAAAGAGAGAGCTTGATTGCTGCTACCTTCCTCTTAATTGATATAACAGAAGTCACTACTCACTGCGATGTCTAAGAGCGCGGTCTTCTATAAGGTTGGCACGGGCCCTCGTGGAGGAAACGCGGCGCGTTTCGTGTTCTGGTTTACAGGCCTAGACGGAAATGCGCCGCATTTCTAGCCTACATGCGTGATTAGGGCGTCGAATTCATAGTAAGTACAGGAGATAAACTTAGATCAGGCTATCGCAATGATCTTTCCCACAAGTTGTTACAATTTGTATTTCCTAATCTGTCTATGTTACATGTGCCTAATTAACGATGGCGCAACTCGACTGAGTGCTATAAAAATAGCATCATTAATAACGCAGTGGCTGTTGGAAAATCCGGGAATCCCCTTTATCTTCAGCATTTAGGCTATTAGTCTGAAAGTCCTAGATGAAATTATCTAGAGATATAAACCCAAGAAGAACTCTTATCTTAATAATTAATAACCAAGTTTTATAAATATATTTTCACCCAGCACTACTGCGCAATATAAACAACAGTGGCTAAATCCAGCAAATATCCGAGCCATACATTCATTGTTAGCGGTCGTGCGCTGAGATCTAGGTGCACCATCGACGCATCAGTGACATTCAAAGCCCATGTGGGGCGGGCAAACTGGGGCGAGCCGAACGAAGTACTGGTATGAGCAATACGTGTCATGATGAAGCTCTCTGCATAAAGAGAAAGTGGACGATAATGGACATCACATATCCAAAAACCGACCCAGGTGCCAGTTGTGGACGGCAACAGGGAGATTCCCCCGAGTCAAAGGAATAATATAACTGCTGAGGTCCTGTCGAACTCTCCGATGGAGCTGTTCAGGCCGGGCCCCTTAGTAAAGACAGGTACCATATCCTGGAACTGGCCAAGCCTGTTCGCTCCGCATTCTCCGCCATTATATGCTGACACTGACACGTGTAATTCGAAGAAAACTCAGTTTCCGGAGGAAAGTTCTAGACCGCAGTAACCATAGAATATGGAGAATTGCTAAATTAAGGTTCATGCCACTTTCACGCTGATGATTCTAAGTGGGAAGTTTCGTGGGATACGTCGCCGTTGAAGCACAAAGCGGAAGATCAGATCAATAGTGAGAAGAGGATCGCAGTCGCTGTGGTTGGGGGAGTACGCTGCTATGAACCCTAACTGTCGCATTGCATCCCGCTGAAACACTGCTTACCGGTAGCTGCATCACTTGTTGGCTGCATTTGGCTAGGAAGAAAATGAACTCGAGAGGGTCCAACACGAGTAATGGTTACTGCCGAATATTTTAAATTTAACGCTGTTGTGCCGCTGTAGAAGTTAGTTGCAGTTTATTCTTCTTTACCCTGCTTTGGCAGCCTCCAGCCTTTCAGACTCATATCACAATGCCGGCCCTTTCATATCTCGTATCTGTCTTCTATGCCGCAGCCTTAGTACTCGGTAGCCCTCTTATAAAAGCAGGGCAACATGATAAGCCGTTCGCACAAGACGTCGCCTATCAGAACCTCAACGCTAGGGGAGGCAGTATTGATACTATATTTAACGCCCGAGCTGCCAGTAAAAAGCCCTTCTACGCTATTGCTCACCGTGTTAACGATATGGATGCTCTTCTGCTCGCCCTCAACGATGGGGCAAATGCCATCGAAATGGACCTATTTGCGGAAACAACTGGCTGGTGGGCTTCCCACGACGGACCGAGCAAGAATGGGGACACGGCCCGAGACATGTTCAACGCTGTCGCCAGGCACCGCAAGGGGGGTAAACCTATCACCTTTGTCTGGCTCGACATCAAAAACCCGGACCGGTGCGATCCCGATGATCAAACATGGCAGTTCTGCTCCATCGCTGCATTACAAGACCTCGCGAGAGAAATCCTCGAGCCGCAGGGCGTGCGAGTGCTCTTTGGTTTCTACCACACTGAGAATGGCAATGCATACCGGCTGATACGCGACGACCTCAACAGCAAAGAAGCTATCAACGTCGACGGTAGGGCGGCGCCCTTGCTCGAGGAGTTCACGGTCAACGGCCCGGCCGATGTGCGCAAGCGTGTGTTGTCATACGGCGACCCTGACATCGGATACCTATTTGGTAACTGCTCGGAACCTGGAGATGCACATTTAACGTGCACGCAGTTGCGTCAGGCTGCCGCATCTGGTGCGTTTGGCAAGACATTTGGTTGGACAGCTGCAGCGGGGCAGACCCAATACGTGGAAGCACTGCTGCGCGTGGGTGTTGACGGTGTCATATACGGCTTGGGAGGAGCTGACTATGATGGGAGTGCTGCACAAGCTGCTAAGGAAATCCGTAACTCACTTGGGAAGTATTCGGACAGGTACTACCTTGCAGGGAAGGATGATAACCCGTGGTAGCTTTCATACTTGGGTTTGTAGTATGATATAGGTGCTAGAAAGTGGCCTAAAGGCTTCCCCGCGTGCACGGACGGAAAGGGGCTAAGTAACGTTATTTTTACGACAATCAAGCCTCAACACGTCATGTATAGGGACCCGCTTGGTGGTATCTGGTCAACTTACATGCAAGTCTTGGTACAGTATCCGTAATAGTGCGGAAGTAGGGGCAACGAACTGCTGGTACCTGATTAACTATGTAACTTTGACCTCTGTCTGGTGCAGCTTACCCATAACTAAACCGCCACCTAAGTCCCCTTCAAGTCAAACAATTCACGCACGCTCTGGCACTAGTCTCTCTCATAAACATTTTATTAAGGACAGTTTCATAGCTGACACGTTTAGATATTAAATCATTATTACAGGATGTCTAGTCAATGTGATCATCATGACGGTTCTATTAATCACGGGATAATAAAACGCACTTGCTCTTATCATCACGGGTCGATTCATTTCCGGGCCTCCTAATTGTAGTAGCTCTAAAGAGTGTTATTTTACTTGACTGTAATTTCATCTGTCTCTCGAATTTGGGATTTTTAGCGCAATGCACTAACGCATAAAAGAAGTATTTATTAAGTTAAAAGTCTGCCGCGCGAGGTAGGCATAAGTTATAGCAAGAAGTAAAAGCAGTTTAATAACTATTCTATGTAAATATAAGCAAGTAAAGCACTGTCTATTTACCTAATATGAATTTAATAATACTACCCCCTAATCAGCCTATAAGTAAGGTATTCCATTATATTCCTTAAAGACAAGTAACCGAAGAACTTTATAAAATCGTTAATATACTGGCTTTGGATTTTTATATGCACTGGCTTTGTGCTGATTCCTTGCTTTGGCGTAACATTAACAGGAGTTGAACAGATCGCGTGTGCCTTGATGTCCTCAATTGCATGTGTATTGTCCCAACTCCATCCCCCGCCTTCCTCGGAGAGGGGTCTGCTTATTATGCTTTCCTGAATGGGTCTAGGGTTGCCGATAGCTGACTATTAGGTTATATAATACCCTATGCGGCCATCCTACTGTCTAATAGTAATACACTCAAGTATATAGAATATATTTATTAGCACTTTTATAGCCTTTTAGCTTACCAGCTATTAATATAATTTCTTTATATTAATATGCCTAACCTGCTCTATTAACTATTAAGAGATATAACACTTCGCTTAAGCTTAGTATAACACCCTACTGTATCTGCTAATATAAACCTAGTATGGACTAGTTTATCCCTTGGAAAACCCAACTATTATATATTTAGAGCTCTTATTCAGTATAGTACTGCATTACCTTAAGTACTACCTATACTGTTAATTATAGCTATTAACCGACCTATTACTGCAAGCTCTGCAGCTATTAACACCTCAGCACTACCGTACAGCACTGAACTACCACCTAGTAATGCTGAGATAATAGCGGAAATCTAAATACTGCGTAATACAGTTTACTGACTGCTATTGAACAGTAGGATGGCCGGTAAGTGGGTATGACCGGCAGGTGGATACTGCATGGTATGACAATAATGTAGTCAGCCCAAGAGTTAAAATCTTATTGTCTAAAACCGAAGCACGCACGACTAGATTCCAACAGACGCCCGTACGACTAACTATCCCTCCAGACGCCCACGCGACTCTGATATCCACTGCCGAAAGAGATCCCCTCTTTGCTTCGTCAGTAGCTCGTTCTTTTTCCGCAGGCCCTCGGCCTTGGCCAGGCGATCTTGCTCCGGCAGCTGGGCAATACGCTCAACGACGTCAATCTCATCCTCGCCCTCCTCACGATAGTAGACGTCCTCTAGGCTGAGGAAGCGGTAGGCATCAAGCAGGTCGTCATCGGCGATGAGCGGCGAGCCCACGATTAGCGAGGCCGCAATGGTCGAGGAGGCCTTGCTTTCGACGTACTCGTAGGAGGCGAAGGCGGGCAGCATCGCAGTGGCTGAGTGCAGCACGTCGTAGAACTCCGGGTAGGGGAGCCCGCGGTGGAACTTGATCCGGTCTTTGGCCTCGTCTGGTACTTTGGGCAGGCCGCCGTTGCCGACAACGTGCAGCTCGATGGCCTGGCGGTCGCTGTTGAGCTTGGCGAAGCGCTTGAAGGTGCCCTCGTAGTCACGGTTTGGGCGGCGATTGACGACCAGGTCGCCCTGCATGGCGAAACGAAGCGTCGCCTCGTTCTTTATGGGCGCGGTGGGGATCGTGAAAACGGGCGGGAAGGTGCTGATGGGGACGTTGTGCACTTCCATCTTTGTCGCCCAGTGCTTTACGATGACCGTCATGTAGTTGGTAACATGGTCGCTGAGCGTGATGAAGCGTAGCCGTTTTGCCTCGATCCACGGCTTCACGGCTTGGAAGCGACGGTCCTCCTTCCACTCGTTGCCGTGGTGGACCGTGGCAAAGAGGATGCTGCTGGTATTGTGGAGGAGATGGGCGAAGGTTGGTTTGAGCTTGGCGTCGATGAGATCGTAGTCGCTGGTGACGGACAGCACAATATCCGGCTCGGCAGCGGTCTCGCTCTCGAAGTACTTGGGCCGAAACTCATTATCGGTGACCAGCTTGCGGTTGTCGGCGCCGGGGATCAGTTCGTAGATGGAGCCAATCCCGAATCGTTGGGCAGCCAGGAAGACGTTGGAGTTGCACTCAGACAGCTGTCCCAGCGCGCTCAGGTAGCTCGCCGATACTTCGTCATGGCAGCCCTTGCTCTCTATCACCGACACCTTGACCTCCTTGCTAGCGAAGGGCGAGCCGGGGTTCCGGTAGTTGAATGTGGTCGAAAGGGAGGAGAACTGATAGAAGACCAGCAGAAGGAGAGCACATGCAGCGACAGTTACGTATCGTGAGGCCGGCCGGGTCGCAATCATGGCTAATTCTTGACGGGTTTCAAAGTAGAGGGGTATATAGCTGAAGAAATGAACGAGCGAACAAAGACATTTTTGAACAGAGTAGAGGGGCGTATACGTGAAGAATGTACGAATGTACGGATGTAACGAACCAATAATCGATCGATCGAACCTGAAGTTTCAGGCTGGAAAAAACAGGCTGGCGTTATCAGGAAATGGATACAGTGCGTGGCAATAACGCGGCTGTTGAGGTTTACAAGATCCTGTTACGTGACTTATTTTGCGCGTTGGCTTCCGCACCAATCCACAGACAGGAGTTGTTCACCGAGGAGACTGACGCTCCATTTGGTCAATAATAACTCTATTCAGGTGGCTGAACAAGTGCCTCGAGGGGACGAATGGGAGTGGCTAGTTTAATTATTTAGTTGAACCTAATTTCGTTGAGAAATTACAGAATGTTGATGACCTTACATTTGAAAAGTGATGCTGGGGATGGCGAAGGTTAGGTGCGCCACTCTACTTAACGCAAGGGGATCGGGAGAGACTGGTGGCATGCTTGACGTCAACTTGGGATCATTACCAAGCCTAGTGACCAATGCTCTCATCGACTGTAGTAGAGTCCGTTTACTTGCCCTACTTTGCAGGGGGTAGAGTCGATTAAGAAGGTTGGAGTAGAGACCATTTACCTGCCAACTAATAAAAATGGTAAAACGCGTATTATAGGACCAGAATGGTAAGTTCGAGATCTAGTCGCGTTAATAGGTAGAGCGAGATAATAATATTGCTTTTAATTATAGTACATAAAGCAATATTAAATATAATATAAGTATTAGCGCAAGATAGAGCTCTTTTTATAGACTTAATAATATAATATAATAGCTATATTTATTAATATTATAAAACTATTTATATACTTATTAAAATACCAGATTGCAATATATAAGACTTGCCGTTTTGCCTATATAGTAAATAAGGTAACTACTTATTTATAAGTAAGATATCCTAGTATATTACCTATAAAGCGACTTCAAGTAGTAGCAAACATCTAGGCACTGCCTTATATTATCTAAAACCAGGCTGAGATATGTGGGCTTTACTATCTGCCGCTGAATACTAAACCTATTCCCTATCTTGCAGTCCTGTACACAGACGGGCTTAGATATTGGAAGTGTTATTATATTATCTATTAAGTTTAGAAGATTTAAGAGCATTACTATACTAAGCATAACTAATAGAATTCTAATAGTAAAAGAAAACTAAGGGGTAGTATTAACAATACCGCTAAGCTGCTATAGATATAAGGCATTTACTATTAGCAATTCTTTCCCTTAAGAGTAGGCAGTAAATTATTTAAAGTTAGCTAAAGACTAATAGACTAGAAGAGAATACCGGAATTAGGATTCTTAAGCACTTTAACTCTACTACTAAAACTAGCTACCTTAATACCTAAGCTTTATGCCTATATAAAGGGCATATTATTACAGGACTAGAGCTTTATTAAGAGGGACAACAAGCCACAGGTCTATAGCAAAACATAAGGAGATGACTCTTTTATAGCCATAAGTCTTTGGCTAGAGCGCATATAATAGCCAGCTATCTTCCATAAATCACAGCAAGACATTCTACGGGCTCTAACTTAGCTGCCTAACCACCATGCTCTAATAGTAGACTATATTCTAGGCCAAGGACCTAGCCAGGGAGACCTAGATATTGTAAGCCTATGGCAGGATAAGTAAAAGATAGCATGCATTATCAGTGCCTTGGACTACGTCTTAGATCGGTGTGAGATAACGGTCTGCCATATGGGCCAATTACTCTTATATTAGCTTTGCAATTCAAGGCTTAAGTCTTATAGTCAGAATCCCTTTACTCTCCTAGCTGAAGATAGTAGCCGGAAGAGATATTAGAGACTATGGAAGCGGTTTATAGCCTTTGTCTTTCGAGGTTATCGAATGCCTGCTTCTGTTCGAGAGTCCGAAACGAAAATAAGGCTAGATATAGAGCATTCAAAACAGCTACAGCACATTTAGGAGCATTAGGTATGGGCTATAATTGATATATCTAGAGGATTCTAGCCAGCTAGACCTAGCTATACCGAGAGTCACGTGCTGCTACGTGGTGCATAACTGGAGATCTCTAGGCCTATAAGGTAGAGCAATGCTTGACTGAGCAGTAATGAAGAATATAATGCTGAGAGCGATAAGGATAATTATAAGACTTCTAAAGATAAAGATAAACTTGATAATGGCCCTGGCTATATAAGCAACTTAGGAGGGAGTTACGTAGAGGCCTCACCTAGACCTGGCTCCTAAGCTGTTACAGAGTCTAGAGATACCATATTTTGGGATTTTCTAAAGCTTCTCTTCCAGTTTTGCATCTCATTAAGCACAAAATCCTTCCTTAATGGCCAAGCCAGCTCTACGATACTTATTTACTTCAGCGGCATTCTTGGTTTCTCAGATAACAGTCGTCAATTCCTACTAGCTCGGCCTTATTGCCCACAGCTATCATGCCTCGTGTATGTCCAACGGTTGCTCTTTCTGGAGTATGCGTTGCCGCTTCACCCTTATCACACGCTTGGAATCCAGCAACGACCACAGGAACAGCAACTTGAGCAGCTGAACGACATCCGTGGAAGGTATATGGTGGCAAGCTCGCAGACAGCACTTGCAGAGTGACTAGCCTCTCGAGACTCAGGGCGTGCCATTGCCCGGACCGAACCGCCCTCTTTTTTCCTGAACTGGAGTGACGATGGTCAGTCTGTTCGTATCGAAGATAGCTTTAGTTTGACGATGGAAGACTTTCGCCAACTACCAGGTTATTTTATTGCTCGGGCGGAAGAATTAACGGCGAAGCTGATGTTTAACATCGAGCCTGACATTAACCTAGCGACGGTTAAAGATGACCTAAGGAACACACAAACTGGATACTCCTATATCAAACACCCCGATAATGGTCTTGACACCGCCTATCAAGACCTCGTTGTGCAAGCATGTACATCCCGTAAGCATGGGTTGTCTAGGCGCGGTGAATGTAGCTTTAACGCTATTGAGTCATACCTTAAGGAGACATTAAACCTCAAGGAGATGCTTCTAGGCGGGTTATATACGGCATGTGGGCAAGTCCCAGGGAACGTGATCTACTCTGTCTAGAGAGTGAGAACAGTCCAACGGCAATTCGAGGGGCTCTTTATATGGAATGGCTATATGGTGTACATCATACGGCATTACAAGGCCAAGAGACTCACCAACCGGGAGTTTTATGTAATACGCTTTCTACCTATCAGACTAGGTGTCGCTATGTTCAAGTACCTCGTCTGGATACGTCGATTTGCAAACCTACTACGGCGCGAACGATCTGGATATTTGGATACAAATCCAGGGCCCTTAAAGGGACAGCGGCTTGTCTTTAATTCGAATGGGAATATATGGTCAACATCTCGGCTTACAGCAATACTTCAAACAGTAACCTCTAGAGTATGGCTACAGAAGATGAACATTCAGCATTACCGCCAAATTTCGATTGGAATCACAGAAACGAATGTTCGGGAAGTGCATTCACCGTTCAACCGATATGATGATTCTAGCGCCAAAGCGGATCTGAATGTCGTATTTGCCTGGCAAAGCGGACTTCGGCCTTTACAAAGGGGCATTACATACGGTCTTGATGGCGCATTTCCACATCAGCTTCAGCCAGCGCTTTTTCGAGCATATGAGTGGGCATCAACTCGCTGGCATGAACCTTTACATCAACCTAGTAAAGTGTTACCACCAGCTCCATCATCAATACTGACATCTCTAAAGAGTGACAAAGGAGGATACAAGCGCAAGGCGAATCACCCCACTATGGAAGGGGATCGTTCAGTGGCTTAGGGATCTACATTCCTCTAAGCGAGTAAAGTGGCTAGACCCAGCCAAGATACTTGCAGGATCTACGTCAAAGAGTCAGTCTAATCCCCTTAGTACGGAGGTTCATCGTGACGAGCATTGTGTGCGGTTAGGAAATATAATCTGTATTCTTCATGGCCATCGTGTCCTTATATGTCTGCTTTGCAAGACAGCAATCCAACCAAGCAATGGTATAGAAAACCATTTCCGCAATCAACACAAGAGCAAAGGCCATATATTACAAGAGATTATGTCTTTTTGTGCTCGTTGGATACTTGAGGATCCCATAAGAGTATCTCTGCCAGAGCATGGCAGCTTGGCGATACCTGAGCTGGCAAAATATACAGGGTTTAGCTGTAAGGAATGTACATTCCTAACAATCAGTCGCAATAACATAGGTCACCATAATACGAAACATACTAAGGGGGGTAGCAATGAGAATAGATAGGTCGAGGTGCTATTACAAACCTTCATGAAGGGCCGTTTTGTACGATATTGGATTGTTCAGGAATAGCTCTTTCCGGTAATATAGTTTCATCAGTCATAACAATTAGGCTGTTTTCTGGCTGTAACTAGATCTACACTATTATTAGGACTGGATGTGGCAGCCATAACTAGTCACCAGCGCTCGCTGGCTAATAGCAAGATCAAACGGGTAGATGAGTTAGCAACTTCTCTGGAGGATTTCGGGACCTTACGGTTCGTCACCGAGCAGATCAACTTCTCAGATTGTGGAGAGCAAATCATTATCAAATACGTAGGAGTTGCGCGCCCTCAAATCATGTCTTTCAAAAGGTCGAGAATTTTCAAGGCCGCCATGAAAAAATCGGTCCCCGCTGCCGTTGTAACTTCGCAAAAAGTGGCGACGGTCACAAAGCAAATTGGATCCATCGTTACACGAGACTCGGGAACACAACACTCGGGAAGGATTCGGGAAATTCACCAACGAGACGGCAAAATGGCATTTCAGCGAGTCCTTTTGACCCGAAACGGAGCAAGCGGGGTCGACCTGGTTCAAGTAGATGGTGAAATTGAAGACACTCAACCTATTGTGGCGCTGCCTAGCACAACAGCGAATAGCCACATAAAGGTAAGCGTCCACGCGCCAAAGTCTCGCGAGGAGAAAATCACTGTCATCCTCCACAAAGCAGCGCAGCCATGGTACGACTTTTCTGCCGATGGCGAGACTGGCGGTCCGATGATTGTGAAAAAGGATCAAAGGGCAATCCGCCAAAGTCGAAAAAGGAAGGTTTTAGAGGTCTCGGAGACGGTAAAAGAATCATGGAAGAATCTAAGACTAAATGAATAGCTAAGGGAAGCAAGGGTTGTTAAAGCTGTTCAGTGCTAAAGAGGCTATTTTGGTTGGATTAGAATTGTAAATGGGGAGAGCTTAACCAGAATGACCTATCCTATCCTATCCTGACAATTATTGTTTGCGTCGACAGCCTACTGTACCAAGGACTGCTTGAAATTTACTAAATTATACACTTTTCGTCCGTGCGCTGGCCCCCTGTCGTTATTACTTTTATGAAATGATATCCATTTTATCTGTGCACGCGGGGAATTGTACAACAATTGATTTTGGACTGTGGTATTAGAGATTGACTACTAGGCGGTAGGACTAGGGATACTGCATTTTTAACTATATGCGAAGGGATTAGAAGAATTATTATTAGTTAGGAGAAAATTCGTAGTAGAGACTGCCTGTTATAATAGACCTAATAGGGGCCGAGATTATAGTAAAGTAAGATAATGCCTCTTTTTTAATACTAAAGAGACTAAGTTAAATAATAAGGCTAATAAGTAAGGTCTAAGATATTATATAATAATTAGAAGATATTACTAAAGAAATATAAAAAACTGCCTAATAGATAATATAAAATATACTAATTAAAAAATAAATTAATTAATTAACTAAAACCTAAAAAAGTAATAGCAGTAATAATAATAGTAATAAAAGGGCAATATTATAAAAAGCTTTAAATTTCTTAATAGAGTTATATAAGGAGACTAAGAGGCTATAAGAAGTATTAAAGGAATAAATAGAAATAATTAAGGAACTTAAAAAAGCTATTATAAAGCAGGAAAAAATAATATATAAAATAGGTAAGTAAATAATAGAAATTAAGGATTAAATAATTAAGAAGCTATAATATATCTATAAGTAGCTTAAAACTATTATTATAAATATAATAAATAGACTTTAATAATTATATATTAATATTATATAATTAATATAGTTCTTTCTTTATAATAATTTAAAGACCTTAATTACTTTTTTAAACCTTATAAATATACTTTATTATATAATTAATATTTTAAAATTAAAAGAAAATAAGGCTAGGCTCTTAGCTAAGATAATTTAAGTAATAATAGAAAATAAAGTCTATATTAAATTAAATAATCCTATATAATAATACTAAGTAGTAAATAAGGACTTAAAGAATCCTTATTATATTAAGATTACTTATAAGGATAAGAGTAAGTATAAGATTATAAAATATATAATAAAAATAAAACTAGCTTTAAGAGCTTATATTTTATAAGATAACCTTTACCTAATTAAAGTAAATAATATTAATTATATTATAATATTAAATAAAAAGAATAAAGTTTAAGCTAAAACTATTAAGATACTTAGCTAAGAAAATAATATTAAAGTTATTAAGGTAATATAGCTTAATAAGAGAGATATCCTTAAAGTATATAGTTTAATAGTTATATATCTTAAAAAATAATTAAAAGTTAGGTAATTTATTATTAAAGGATTCTTTATAGCTAGAAGAAAATCTAATATTATAAAGATATTTAAATATTATAACTACCTTAAGTAATATTATAACTATTAATAAATTATAAATTATAAGGCTTATTAATATAATAAACTATAAGTTTATAAAAAGTATATATAAGAAGGCTATTACTATAATATATATATAAAAATAGTTTTTAAATATATCTTATATAATGGCCTTTATAAGTTATATAATAAAAACTACTAAAAGCTTTATTTATTATAATATAAATAAAACTTTTTAGCTATTTTAATTAAATATTAAGAAATAAAGATTAATATATAATAATTTAATAAATAATAAGGATATTTAAAATATAACTATATTAGCTATTTAAAAACCCTAGGTATAAAGGATTTAAGGTAAATTATTAATAATACTTATAAGGTATTATAAATAGGTTAAAATAGTACTTATAATAAAAAGGGAAGGTAGATAGGTAATTTAGAGTATACTTTAGGTAAATAAGGAGGTAAAAGCTAAGTAGGTGCTAATAAACTCCTTAAATATAATAGTAGTAGTTATTTAGCTATTAGATTATCTAGTCTTTATAATATCTATTTATATACCTAGGGGAGATACTTAAGCTTTATAAAATATATACTTTAAGCTTTATAAAGCTATTAAAAAGGTAAGATAGAAATTAGGGAGAGCAGTAGATCTAGTTATTACTAGCAATTTTAACTGCTATAACTAGATATAGGGCAGAGATAATATATTAGTAAAGAGATAAGGTAAGGCAGATTTAATTATTAACTTAATAAATAACTTTATATTTAAAAGCCTCCTTTATTAAGGTATAAAGATATAATAAAGTAGAGATTATAAAATTATTATTAACTTAATTCTAGCTTTTAAAGAGCTAGTAGATATAAATATTAAATATATAATATATAATATAGAGTATAAATTAGATTATTATATAATAGAGATAGTATTTAATATCTTAGTCCTAGTGCTAAAATAGGATAAAAGACTTCTATTTAAGAATATATTATAAAAAGAGATTAATAGCAAGATTATAGATATACTAAGGGATAGGCTAGTAAGAAATATAGTATAATAGAAAATAAATAAGTTAATATTAGCAGTCTTAGAAGCTATTTAGACCTTAATACTAAAAGCCAAACTATCCTTATATATAAAATAGTAATAAACTAATAATCTTATATAGCTGCAATATGTATATATATACTAGAGGAACAGAGTGCAGACTGCAAGATATGCTAGTTAGACTTCCTTAAACCTTAAGGGCTTAATAACCGCTGCAGCGAAGTAATACTATAATGCCATTTAATAATATAAAATAAACTATTAGAAAGAGTTCTTAGCAAATAATAATAATATCTAGAAAGTAGCTAAGTATATAAAGTCTAGGGATAATATAGCTTTTAAAAAAGTACCCTAGCTTACTAAAGTAAATAGAATAAAAATAATAAATTATTAAAAGCAAGCTAAAGAACTTCTAGCTAAGTTCTTCCTATTACTATTAGATAATATTAAAGATAAAGGATTAAGGTAATAGAGAGCTCTAGTAGAGATGCTAAAACTAGCTTTAAAGGAAGTAAAGCGCTAATTATAAGAAATAAAGTTATAAAAAGCACTAAAAGAGATAAATTACTAGTAATTATCTAAAAGCAGATCTAGCTATTAATAAAATATAATATCTTTAATATCTTTTAAGTATTACTAGAAGAAGGCATAATACTAAAATAATAAAAATATAGTTAAATTATCCTACTTAAGAAGTTAATAAAAGATAACTATATAATTATAAAAGCCTAAAAACTAATCTTACTCCTAGCTATATTAGGCAAAGTATTAGAGTTAGTAATAGCTAAGAGAATCTCCTATATAGTAGAGGGTTACAGGCACCTCCTAACTAATTACTTTAATATATATAAGCAACAATTAGCAAAGTAAGCCCTTATATTTCTATAAGAATATATCTTCTTAATATAGCGCTTATATTACATTATAAGTCTTATTAGTTTTAATATAAAAGGAGTATATAATAATATATATAAAAAGAAATTATTATAATATATAAAGGTAAAAGGGATTCTAAAAGGTCTCTTATAATAGGTTAATATATTTTACTTAGAGCAGACTATAACTATTATAATTAATAGTTAAAGTTTAGAAAGCAAACCTCTATTATAAATAAGGATCTTATAAGAATTGCCTTTA